AAATCAACTATTACTGAGGACTTCAGATTTTAAAGTAGTTATCACATTAAAAATAAAACTACTTCCATGACAATAGCACTTCCAACTACAAAATGGGGAGTGATGAAACAGACCCTTAGCTATGGGAATGAAATGTGCATACTTTATTCAAGGCCATTTGAACGCTGTGGGGGTCCTGAAACTCATCACCGTTTTCTGTCGGCTGCCTCACACCATTTTATTCTGCTCACCAAATCCATTCATTTGCTGCTTTGGAGAAGAGAGTAAATTTGTATGACTGGAAATAAATTAATTGGTCTTGATATTTTAGGTTTTTTTGACCTAGGTGGTTTCATTGAAATAAAGAATCAAAGGACTCTGCAAATATAGCTGAACTTTATGAAAGCACAAGGCTGAGGAAGGACTAAGACATGATAAATTATACTTGAGTTGTAGTAAACACATTTTATTTTCTACATCCAGAATTTATGATCAAACTCAGCTGAGAGAAATGTTTTGAAGAGTTAAACAAGAAAACAATAGCATCTGAGTATTTATGCATATGGCTGCTTACAGGAAAAATAAATTGTACAAAGCTTGAGAAACTATTTCTCAGATAAAACCAAGACCGAACAACAAATCAAAAAATTAAGCTAACAGAATCACATGTGTTCCACTTGCTACAAGTTGGCTCCTACCAACAAGAAATCACACCTCATGCCGCAAAAATGCTAAGACTCGATAGATAATGAAAAATGGTGAAAAGAATGATGTAGTCTTTCGAAGCTTAAGAGTTTACAGTTGGTGACAATCTGAAATAAGATATTGCAACAATTTGTTAGCAAAAGACAACATCAAAAAATGGGGGAAAAAAAAATTATTCAATTGGTATAATCGAGACTTAATTCTCACCTGCACTTGAAAATATTCTTCTCACATTAAGTTCACTAAGAAACACCAAGATAAAGAGTTCCTGCGTTTCTACAACTCACAGCATCTGACAGCTCCGCAAAGTGACACCTGTAATCCCAAAGTAACGACATTAGTTACCAAACAAGAAGAGATGAGAGGGCCAGGATGGGGAAAGACTCAGCATTAACACCTTCACACTTATAATACTAGTATTCATTCAGTTCATCCTCAAAAGGCCACTAGTAGCACAGTAGTTAATGTGTCAAAACCACCGCATGTCTACATACATGCCACACTTTCAGTAAACATCATTGTGACAGCAGTCAAGATAAACCTTCCACATGAGGAGTTCCATCCAAGCCATACCTAAACAAGCAGTACAACTGTATTAGGAACAAAACAAAGGCCTAGGTAAACACAGTAAAACAATAAAGATTTGGCATGGAAACTTACCTGATAGCCATTCCAGATGGATTCCCCCCCCTCTCACGAGGGACAGCCAGAACAGTGAAATTTGGGGTTACGGTGAGAGCCTGTGGTCTGAGGCTGGCAACTCTCAACTGAAGAACTGCCCAATGTTTTGAAGGGAGCTGGCTGCAATGAACATGGCATTAGGTTGGTGAGCAAATCAGAGTTAAATACTATTTAGTCACGGGAAAACAAACACTTGCCTCCAGACCATCACTACACTTGTTCCTGAACCAGTGACAGGAATGGACCATTTCAGCAATCATACAAAGAACAAAAAATGATCGTGCATTAAACCCACAGACTTGGTATTGTTGTGGTCTCCCTCAGGCACTGCCAAGAGCCGTTGCCTGCAATGAAACCAACTTGAATTACTGATATGAAGCCATACATCCTAATTGCACTCCAGTAATTTCACAGGAGAAACTGTTCCAATTATTATCCTCACCTCTGTTCCAGATTGCCCCTTTCCAGAGTCAGGTCATGAGCATAGCTATCATTCTCGACAAAACACTGAGCTCTTGGTGCTCCAATTTGTAGGGAGTGGACACGTGAGGCAACACACAGAACACAAAAGGCGCCCCCACAAGGCCTGAAATCACAGACGAATATTGTGAGATATTAAGATATTTCATCTGGACACAAATCAACACGAGACTCATAATAGAAAGGATTCATACCAGGAAGTTCTTCTTATTATATGCTTATTATATGCTGCTCAATACAAGTGGACGTGGACAATACAACACTTCTCTTTACACGTTAACTCTAATCAAGAATCCTCTTCTTCATCACTGCGCTTATTGATGTTGGCTGCCTTACACCTGAAACTACAGAACACAGATAACTATTGGGAACATAATACAGACTTAACATTCATCAACAACTGAAAACATACCATCATTTTATCCTGCTCCGCACACTCACTGAACGACTGACTCCACCTTCAAATCATACAAGAGCACTTGGGAGGTTAGGACGCGCTCTGTTATGGTTCTGCAGGTTCACACATTTAAAGCAAAATAACCGACAACACAATAAACTCAGTGCTTCTGATGCTTTTAGAATGTTTTATAGAAATGCATGTGATTTCACTTCATCGTGAGGTGAATCGGCACAACTATTGTAGCAGTCGTTTACGAAACTTGCAAATTGTTTGTGTGTGAAGCAGACGAATCACTGCCAATGGTGTGTCAATGTAAACAACTAGATAGAGAGAGTATCGATGTATCGCAGGACTGAGTCGAGAGTCCCCGAACCCGGGCCGAGCCGGCCGAGCTGAGCCGAACAGATCCGGGAGTCGTGGCGCTCCACAGCCGCTCGACGGCGTGGCGCGAACCGCGCGAACGGCGCGAGACTTATTCAAATATAAGTTAATTTACTTAAGTTAGTGAAATAGCGTAAGTTATTTCACTTACCCTTTTCCAGGCCCGGAACTGCAGTTAGCCACCTCGTTTGCCCTCCTGATGGTATCTGTACCTGTTATAGCTCTTATTTCAATTACTGCCACTAAATGAAATAGCATAATGTAATTTAACTACTTTACTTATTTTATTTACTTATATAGATATATTAGGTTCGGACAATCGGGCTTCGGACAATCGGAGCCGCCTCGTTTATAAGCATCTAATAGTTGTTTTCCAATATAAATTTCAAAATATCTCACATTTATTGTATCTTTTCTGTAGCCCATGTTCATGGAGTCTTGTGGCTATCAGGAGCTCCAAATGTGACCAATTTGGATAAAATGACTGATTCAGAAAGAGAGAACGTGATTTCTTACTTCAGTAGCTTGATCAGTGCATGGAATCCAGATTGCAACTATGTTGTCACTGCAAGTCATCCATGTCGTTTGAAGATTAGCCAAGTTGAAGATGAAATTCAAGATTTAGCTTCTCTTGTAAATACCGTTCAGAAACACAAGTGTTCAATCCATTGTATGAAGATGCAAAAAAAGGATTCTAAATCTAAAGCAGGTATTCAGTGTCGTCATCACTTTCCTCACAAATTACGAGATTCAAGTACCATTGAAAAATATGACCGTGGCCATTATGAATTTTATCCGAAACGTTATGATCCCAATACCAACAAATTTAATGGATGGACTATCAGAGTTATAAGGTCTAATCATGATTTTACAGCAATATTATCATATAATGGATTTGTCAGGTAATATTCATAGATCTTGATCTAATCGATAAGTGAAGTCTTTTTTTGAATACTAATTCTTTTCACTTTAATTCATAGATATATTGCAAAATATGCAACCAAAGGTGAAATAAAATCAGCTGAGTTACTCACCATCTTAGAAATGATTGTATTCAATAGTGATGCTGGACAAACAGTTAAAAATGTTATACAGAAACTGTTTATGAATCTTGCGGCAGATCGTGACTATTCATTTCAAGAAGTCATGCACCTTTTAAAAGGACATAAACTTTATCAATGTTCAAGAACATTTGTTGTTTTGAATTTATCAGCTAATGATTGGCAAGCAAAAGCTGATATATCAGTTTTGTCAGCAACAGAACCATCTCAGTTTCAGGAATTTACAGATCCTCTTGACTCTTATGCTAGAAGACCTGGAAAATATGAGAGAATGACTTTGCTCAATGTAATGAAGTGGTTTGATGTGAAGTCTTTCAAGAAATACACAAAAGAGCGTATTGTACGAATCATTCCAAGATTTCAACAAAAAAATTCTTCTACCATAGCAGAAGAGATATGGAGGCAGAACGCTCTTCTCAATATCCCTTGGAGAAATATAGAAAATCTACTTGTAGAAGAAAGTTGGGAAAAAACATGTTCAGTAAATGGACTAAGTATTGACATGTTTCCTAATCCCATTTCTATTGTTCATGATGAATTGTCTGATGAAGAAGAAACTGAAGATATTGACAGTCTTAAACATGATGACTGGATGTCAATTTGTAGCCTTAGTGGGCAAAGCGAAGATTCAGCTTATGAACTTGGAAAGCGACCCCTTGACATTACATATCCATGGTCTAATAATACCTGTGACATTAATTATGCTGATATATTGACTAATTTTGTTTCTGAATCAAGGAAAACTTTCCAGATACCAATAGGTCAGTCACAAATACAGTTATATACTTATAAGTTTCATATATTGTCTACTCTCTTTTATTTAATATGTATTGATATTTTATTTTTTGTACTTACAGCAAATCTTTCTATTCCAAATCTTAGTCCAGACAAAAAAAATGTAATGAATATTCTTTCAAGACAAATTGATTCCATCCTTGATAAGTCTCCTACAACTTATAAAGTTCCACATGTATGTGTCTGTGAAGGCTTTGCTGGAAGCGGAAAATCTGTTTTGCTACAGTCAATGGTTCAATCAGTAGATTCTAAAATTGGATCTGGATCAGCTTGGGTAATGGCTCCTACAGGTTCTTCCGCTCTCCATGTCAATGGTCAGACAATTCATAGTGCTGTTCGGTTGAATTGGCAAGACATTGGAAATATTCCAGATCTGAAGGGAGAAACATTGTTTAAATGGAGAGAGAAGTAGGACATAGTTAAATTTGTTTTCATCGAAGAGTATAGCATGGTTGGGTGTAAACTGATTTATGTGCTACATAAACGACTCTGCCAACTTATTGAATCATTGGAGCCTTTTTATTTGGTTCCTTGGAAACATTCTTCAACTTCAACTTCCTCCTGTTGGTGATACACCATGGTTTAAAGATGAACTAACTTATGCAAGGGATTCTGTTGTCGCTGGTTCTTTGCTATACAAGGAAATAGACATGGTCTTTTTCTTGTCATCACAGCTTCGTCAAAAAGACATGCATTTTCTTCTATGTCTGGAGCATATAAGTAATAGAATAGTTACAGAAGAAGATAAGCTTGTTTTGAAGTCAAGAATCAAGACTCCATCTGAAATTGAAAACTTACCTGAATTTGTTGATGCTGTACATCTTTTTTCAAAGAAGAAAGATGTTGATCTGTATAATCTGACGAAACTTGTGAAAGAAAATCGGCCAGTACTTCGAATTGATGCTGAAAATAATTCCCGTCATGCTAAAGCTTGCAGTTCCGATAAAGCCCTTGGACTTCCGCAGATTCTTTTCTTATCTATTGGCTGCAGAGTTATGCTGAAGAAAAACCTGTGGGTGGACGGAGGTCTTGTTAATGGATCTATCGGAACATTGATTGATATAGTGTACAAATCTGAAGATGACGAATCACCATTTGCTCTTATTATCAAGTTTGATTCCTATTACGGTCCAGTTATGGATAATGGTGGTATACCTTTCATTCGTTACACAAATTCATGGTATGCCAAGAACATATTATGTTCAAGAAACATGTTCCCTGTTATTTTGGCTTATGCAGTCACAATTTATAAATCTGAAGGACTGACTTTGCCAAAAGTTGTATTTCACGCATTGGCAAAGGAAATGGCTGCTGGTGAATTTTACGTTGCATTGTCAAGAGTAAAGAATCTTTCTTATCTATGCATTGCATATGAAGGAGCCATTGAAGACTGTCCACTATTCCATTTGAATCCCACAATTTATAAAGAAAAGCTTGCTGCAATTGAGAAGTTAAAATTAAAAGGTATAGATCTATACAGTTTTTATATTATTTTGTAATTTTTGATTTTATGTTGTTA